ATCATTTTCTGTGTGCCACAAACCCACACAAGGTTTCCAAACGAGTCAGCATGGCCTTGGATGCTGCCCAAAGTGGATAATTATTTTACTCTCTTGAAAGAAAGTTGGATATGCCTATTCCCCGAGGCTTCCTGGCAACAAAAGACATTGTTTGATTTTTAAAGACCCTCTCAAATTCTAATTTCCTCACGCTTTATCTGTAAGACATACAGGAATTGCATGTCCAGGTTGATTTCCCCGTTGAGGAAGAGGCAGGAGGAGTGGAGGGGAGGGCACGGAGCAGCCAGCAGATCTTGGCTCCAACGAAGCAGCTCTGGCTATTGCTGTGCAGACAGACTGGGGCTCTGTGCTCGCTTCTGTCTTACAACCACCAGGCAATCTCAGCATGCACCAGAAGTCACATTTAAACAGCAGAATTGCCTTTGGGGAGCGTTACGCTCGCAGGAGACAGACAAGGTGTTTCCATGAGAGCATCCACATTTGTGGAGGTAAATACGTGCCAGTTTTTGGACGTCCTGATGGTCACGGCAAGCTGGCCGGGCACTGGGCTGCCAGGACCCCCGGCAGCCCGGAGGGGCGTGGGACACCCAGGCACAGCCGGCAGCGCTCGGCAGGGCCGTGGCGGGAAAGATCCCGGGTCAGGCTGCTCGGGGCCATTCAGAAACCTCCGGGTCATTTCAATGGGCCAGTCAAATAAGTCAAGTTTCATTTTGCCTCTTTCTTCCCTTAATTAGACAACGGGGAGATTTATGGCGTAATTGAGCCAACTAAATGTTTCTGTAATTTGACATCTAATTCATCAATGTCTAGTTTCTCTGCAGGTGAATCTAAATAATTACTAACTGATGGAAACATGTTTCTGTTAAAAAAAAAATTCCTATTAAAAGATCTGTTATTTCTTGCTTACTCCTAACATTTCCTTTACTCCTAACATTTTAGTGGGAAAAGCAGCCCGGATCAGCACGACTGCCCCAAGGCACGAGGAGCGACATTGGCCAAAGCGGATGGTCCCAGCGCAGGAATCCGTGTTAAGGTCACGTCAGCCAAAGGCTCCAGCCCCGGAGCCCTGTCTGGTCACCTTGTCAGGTAGCCCTGGGCCTCAGAGACACGTTCAGTTACTGCAACAGGTAGGACTGGGCGGGCAGTGAGTGCAGGGAAACCCCAGCCGGTTACGAGTTAGCAAGAGTTTTGCATTTGACCTCAGTGAGGCCAAGGATTTTACCCAGAGTATCAATCATCTTTATGAAGACAAACTAGGAAACTTATCAGCAATAAGAGCAATAAGCAGGCAAGGTTGTTCCCAAGGGCTGCTGAACTCGGGATCGGAAAAGCTGGAAAACATACGAGTGAAAAATCATGTCCTGCTTATTCCATTTATCCTCAAGATACCTGTGATGCACATATGTAGTATCTCCGCATTTAGCACTGTTTTACTCTGCTCCTGCTGGACACGCTGTGCAGCTCTCTGTTCGCGAAGGAACTTTGGGTAAAATATCCTTGGATACCTTCCCAGATCCGGGCTCGCCCCTCACAAATGAGCCCTGTGAAGGCACAACCTATGGTTCATGTTTCGAGGAACACAGTCCAGTGGAGCTGGGAAAAGTCCCACGGAAGCTCTGCTGGGCAGACAGAGCCTGCCGGGTGTTCGGCTCGCGGGCTCTGTCCGAAGGGCAGAGCTTTCCATGGAAATCGCTGCTCGGTTGGCTTGGAGAGTGCGACCTGCTTCAACCTCCACAAGCCCTGCAGGAGGGCCACAAACATCAGTCTGAATTTCCAAGCACCTTCAGGTCAACAGTGGGGAGGAAACGACGTTCTAATAAGAAGGGGGTTTTAAAGGAGCGTTTGTGGTCACCACTCTTGTTTGTGGACACCACTCTTGTTTGTCATCCGAACAAAAAGTTCTTAAATCAGCCGGTCAGGGCACAGAAATATTCCTGTAAAAACCGGCCAGCTCAGGGCAGATGTCAAATAAGCAGAAGCAGCAGTTTGCAACAACAAGAAAGGCTCTGCAAGAAAGAATAGCAGATTTTTGTCAGTGAATAACAAGCCCATTCGGTACCAAGCATAATTTGCTTGTGAAAAAATAGAAGAAGGGGTGAAGCTTGTTAGAGAAACCACTCACTGTGTGTTACTTGTCTGGGTGAATGTAGCTATTTTCCTTACGGATCTTGCAAACCTTTCACCTGGGAGCGGCTGCGTCTGTTCCCAGAGCCGCAGTCCCGCGCGGCTCCGCCGGGACTCGGCCCTATATCCAAGGCGCCTGCATCTTCCCATAGGATCAGGGCTGACTTCTGCGCTCCCACTTCAGAGGGCAGTGCTGTTTAAATTTAGACTGTTTCAATACATGTTATTTTAAAAGGAACCAAGAACAGCTATTTATATATTTGCTCCAAAAGAAAATTTGCAACAGCAGGATTTTTTTTTTTTCTAAATCTCCTTGCTCTCATCGTAACTAGATTGATGATTTCTGTGTTTCTCCTTTTAGGAGGATAACTAGAATAAGTTGCCAGCTGAATTTCTCTTTTATTTTATTCCAAGTTTTAATTTAAGACAGAAGAAGTGTGGCTAAGCTTCTTACTTTATGTAATTATTCTCTGGCCCCCAAACCAGGTTCTCTCCAACCACGCAGCTCTGTGTTCCCTATTGCTTCGGTCCCCAGGGCTGCAGGGAGGGATGTCAGTGACTGCCGGCAGCTGAAGGCTTGTGACAAACTGCAGGAAGGCAGGTGAAGCAGTGCTGGAATTGCCCAAACTCGGATACAGGAATCACTGGACCCTCGGATGGGTTTTCTGTCCTGATTTGTGCATCCCCATGCATGACGCCCATGTTTGTACCCGGGCATATAAGCCAGTGACTAAACTCAGGATGCAGTACAGAGGTGGCAGGCCAGAATTTGGCATCACAGAAATTGTTTTTCTGGGAAAAAAAAAAAGGCCATCAGAGTGTATCAGAAGCCAGTGACATTACTTGGTAAAACACACATGAATTTGTACAGGACAGTGCTGGAACTGAAGGCCATAAACCTGCATTTAACCTGGTGCCTGCAGGGCGCTCCCTTAGACTGCATGGTGCCTCGTATGCTGGTAAGTGGTGCAGGTATTTCAAATTAAATGACTAAAGCCTCTTCCCTTTCTGTCACTCAGACCATGGAAATTCCCCTTTGAACGTCTGCTCTTTCCGTTAAAACCAGGTTCAGCTTCGTGGCTTCATTTATGTTCCCAAGAGGGAAGCAGGAGGGATGCTTGGGAAACGCAAGTGCCTTGGATGGGGCTGGGAGGAAGCAGCGCGCTCCAGAGGCACCGGGCACTGGGAAACCCCCGCGCCGCCTGGCCCAGCGGGGCCCGGAGCGAACCCTGCCGGCGCCGCCACCAGCGCCGGCGCGCGGGAGCCCGGAGCGCGGCCCCCACCTCAGCCGCTGACAGGGTTTATTCCTACGTCTTAATCAAAGCAGGAATTTTTATTTCTACTCAGCTTTGAATGACTGCTAAAGTTCATTTCTTCACCCACAGATTCATCTTTTATCTCTTTGCTTATTTATTTATTTTTGTTTTATATTTCTTTAACTTTTGAATCATATGAGAGTGAAAAAAAAAAACAAATGTGGATATTTTCCAGATTTGGACAAATTTTGGAAAGTTACAAACACAGAAAATAATTACATTAAAAATTACATTCAGTGACAAGGAGAGGAAAAGGAGGAGAAAGAGGGAAAAACAAAACATTTAAATATTTAACATTATTTTTTAGCTCTTTATAATCGCTCCACTTGAAATTTTCTGAAATACAGAAACAAATTTGATTTTTTCACTGACTCACAGGCAGTAAAAAGGATAATATACATTGAGATTAAAAAACCAAAGGATTTTTTTTTTTGTTAACAGGTAGAAAGTGAATGAGGAAAGATGAAAGAATCAGTAGTGAACGGCTGCCCCACTTTTAGCTGCCCAAATGACAGCACATGGAAGCTCGGCATAGCTGCACACTGCTCTGCAAATGCCTTTGCTGAGAATAGTTTCTTCTTTTTTTTCGCTAGAAAGAAAAATAAGGTAAGGAAACAGCTATGTTATAATCACTTATGCATTCTTTTGCCTGAATCAGGCAAAGAGAGAAAAACCAGCCCTGAACGCTGATTTTTCCCTCGTAAGCTTACTTTGGGCACAGATTAACCTTCTCAATGTGCTGCGCTCCCAGCAAACGCAAAACAAGTGGAAATGTGTATGTGGAGACGAAGCTGCAGGAGCGCTCCGTCCTCTGGCTTCCTTCAGACTAAAATGGAGACTTGCTGCATGTCAGCTATAAAGTAAAGCTACTTTTGGCTGGAGCTTCCTTCCTAAGCCAGCAAGTTCTCCCTGAAAGCCTGGGGAGCTTGTGCTCAAGGATGCTCCCGAGGGTACCTTGTCCCACTGCTGCCTTGCTCAGCTCCAGGGCAAAGGCAGACAGGTTGGGATCTACATTGGTTTCTAATGAAGTTTTCTAGTTTTAGGGCAAATTTTCTTTAGTCTGTTGCCATTCTCACGTGGATGGGAAAGCAACTTCTATACCATTACGTTGATGGTGCCAAGGGTCATTCCTGGGCAATGGCAGTCAGTCATCTGGTAGTGTTACCAAAATGTATTTGAGGTGTAGCATTAAAACAGAAATATCCCTGATCCATGCCAGCCAATGGCTTCCTGGCAGTTTCCGAAGAGCCAGGAGTTATCCAGGGCCAGGGACGTTCTTGCTGATCAGTTTGCATGTGGCTACCCTGGTCTGGAGGTAAAAGTGGTTGGCAGTATGGCCGGGGGTGATCTGTGCCGCTGGCTGCTGTGCCCAAAATGGTGCCAGACTTGAATCCCGCTCCTGTTTCGCGAGAGCGGAGCAGCCCGGGTGCCGTGGTTCTACAGGTAGGTGGTTGCCTCCCTGCTCTCCCTTTCCTTGGCCTGCGCCACGGCCACGTTGAGGCACTGCAGCCATTCCTCCGCGTTCTTCTCGTCCTTGGCCTTGAACACGTACGTCTTGCTCTCGGTGAATATCTCGAAGGCCCGAGGAAGGCTGCGGTCCCGGCGCTTCCTCGCCACCACTTTAACGCTCTGCACCTTGCTGAGCTCGATGGGGCAGTCGTCAGGGTCATCCTTCTGGAACAGGGGACAGAAACAAGAGCATGTTCGTAAAGTGAAGCGCTCCACGGCAAACACTGCTGTGGGGGATTGCTCAACAGAGCCATCGGCAGGTCACCAACACACAGCCATGAGGTCCTTTGCATCTGCACTACTTAGTTCCAAAATGGTGATGATTTCAGCTATTAATCCAGGCTGGGCTGTCCCTTCCCCTGGCTTTAAACAGTGGTGACCTTTATTAAAGATGCCTGAGGACCTGGCCATGGGTTTCTTGCCTGAGTGCAAACGAGGCAGAGTCTGACGAGCCGCGTGTCAGCTGGCCTCTGAACACTGGTGTCATCCAGGGAGGCGGATGGCCACAAAGTCACTTCTGAAGGCAGTGCTACATAGATCAATGTGTCAGCCACTTCCCTCTGGTTAAACAATTCTCTACTGCATCCCCAGACAATTCCCAAACTTCAGCCATTCCCCAATTCCATTTACTTTTACATTTTGGGATGTGTTTTCAAAAGCAGAACAAGAAGGAGGCTTTACTAAAAATAAATTATACTACTTAAAATAAAAACATTTGGAACACACATTTGCAAAAATGTTTAGCCCATCAGCTATGTGTGGTCAATGGCAAAATACTTCCTAGGCATGAAAATCAGGCAGTGCCCTGGAGACTCTCTTAAGCACAATAAGTTCCTTCTGCTCATTTTAAAAAAGGGAATGGGTACTTTGAGTGTGGTCCAGGAACATGAAGGAAATCACGCCATTTTTTTTCATAACAAATGAAGATATAGGACATTGCAATTTAATTTTATTTGAAAATGCAGAAAGTAGGTAAGTCTACAAATCTTAGCATTATTATAAGAATGGGAATATGATGCAGCAGAAAAAGAGTTCCCAGATCAAAGCTGTGGAAGTTTCCTGAGGAAGAGGAGATCTGTAAGCTCAGTAAGAGATCTATAAGAGCAGATCTGTAAGGTATGAAATGTGGTCTCCAAATGAGAAGTTCAAGCCCAAGGCCCTGATTCCTCACAGGTATTTAGGCACCTCCTGTAGAGCTTCTTGTATTTTTTTACTTAGAAAGGTAGTGAGTTTTAATCCAAAATTCAGAAGCCGGTTTTCCTAAAGCTGGAAGGCAGGAAGGATCTGAATGAGAGCAGGATTAGGAGCTGATCATGAATCTCCAACTCAGGAGTGATGACTGACCTGCCATTTCCTCCCCTTCATAATGAATCCATGGGTTGAGTTGCCCAACTTTTGGAGCTCTTCCACACTGGGCGAAAGGTCTTACTTGCAGCCAGGGTCTCCTGCGTTCCCCGGAGTGCTGAATCCCCGGGCCTTTCTGGCCGAAATGCTGTTTAATTCCCCACTCACCAGAGCAGCTCCCGGGTGACGCCGCCGGCACAGCCGCTGCTGCACAGGTCTCTCCGGGACAAGGGTGGTCCCTGGTCCGTGGGCAGCAGATCACAGCCCAGATCCGCATCTTCCCCGGCTCAGGCCCTGCTGCTGCTAAGTATTTTGGAGTGGGTTATTTACCTACCTCATTCACTCTTTACTAGTGATCCCATCCCTCTCCTGAGAAGTTACTTTTGAACGGATAATTTCCCACTAACACCTTCAATTCTGGCAAAATGACTTTCCTTTCTGGTGACAAAACTCATGACCGTCTCTGTACTGGAGCTAGTGCTTCCAGAGGCAGCATTAACCCCCTGGGCATGACCAGGGCCCAGCAGTACCTGTCCCCGCTCCCCTGGCTGCACAAAGACCAGCCCAGGCAAGTCTTTACACACCGAGTTTAAGCAGGCTCAGCCTCGAGATGAACATGGTGAGCACTGTATCGCATGAGATCCAAAGCAATTACAGGCTCCAAGAAGAACCAGAACTTCACGCCCTGGGAGCCAGATGTTCAGGCTTAGGCCTCCATCTAGCAAAGACGACACGTTCTCTTCATTATTTGTCATGCACACATTGGGTTTGACCTCAAGTTGCTAAAGAAAGTTGATGGCCCCCTCGGCACATTTCTGGGGAAGGAGTTTACCACAATTTTCCAAGAGTTGAGGATGTGGCTTGCACTGGGACCTCTCACATCTTGGTTTTCTCCTGCCTGCCTTTCACCCACCACCATAGAGTTGCTCACACAGAGCAAATATTGTTCACGTGGTGACTTTTCCGAAGGCCTCGCCAGGCCCAGCCAGCTGGCTGCCTCACAATGCTTCTTCTGTGCTTGCTCTGCACTCTGCGCCCTGCACAGTCAAAACACCCACATAGCGCCGGCCTCCTGACCGTGCCAGAGAGGAAGGGCAGGATCCTCATCCTCTGCCAGCTTCAACGGGGAGAACAAACACCAGATGCGCTGGGCAGCCTGGGCTCGCTATTCTAAAGGAGCAAAGAAGCCTTGGATTTTCCAGTTAAAAAAGGAGGAAATTAATCTATATGAATTATGTCCTTGGAGCAAAAGCTGCTGTTCAACAAGCCAATCTGTTGGCTTCATCTGGCTAGGAAGCATCGCACGTTCCTCACGGCTTCCTCACGGAGGGCAAACCCAAGGGGCTGGTTTCCATGTGCTAATCGTGTCCCAGGAGGAAGCCGGGTATTCAATTTCCTAGCAACCGACTTGTTAGGAAAATGACAATTATTCAAATACCCTTTAAAAAGTGAACGTCAGCCAGACCTGAACCTATCTCACGACGCGTGTACGCATCATCCTCGGGGTCTCAACCCAAGCCTCGGAAGAAGCCACTAGAAGCTGAGGAAGAGGCAGTTTGATGAAACACTCCCTTTCAGGCATTGCCCTGTGTGCCCAGGCACATCCTCCTCCAGGCTCAACACCCTGGTACGTTTCCTAAAGGAAGGGACTCGGAAAGCCACTTGAGAAGCTTAAAGAGCTTTGCTAGGTTTCTGTAATAATAAAGATTATTTACCAAAAATATTAAGGTTTGACTATAATTGGAAAATGCAGCTATTTAGGGATTATCTAAGAGAGCTCTTGCAAGAGAGCTCTTGTAAATAAAGACTATTTAGCATAATTCTCCTTGTGAAAAGCTGAACAAAGTCAGCTCCTAATAACTGAGAAATAATAACTCCTGGAGACCAAATTCTATTGTAACATACTCGATGTCCTGTATTCAAGTAATTTCACTGGAATTTTATCTGAGTTGCTGGGAATTTAGATGAAGGTAGAAGTGAAGGCAAAAAGCTCAGCTCCTTGCAGACACAAGTGTTCTACATCTCCTCGCCTTACAAAACCTTGCATTTCCTCTACAAGCAGCATCCATTATAATGCCACCATCCCAAGACTGGTTATGAATGTCTAAAAGCAGGCTGCTTATTTGTTACCGAGTGAACTGTTTGTTGGTTTTGGAGAGCACCCTGAGATGTTTCATAGGGGCCTTTCCAGATGGGCTGGACGTGATCTTCTCCCCCAGACGCTGCTGATCCCGTGAACGCCTGGTACCCAAGCGCTTACCGTGCTCTTTGCAAATGGAAATACGTATTTACATGAGCAGGATTTGCTGAGAGTGTGCTTATTCAATGAAAGAAGGAATCCCTAGACAAGATTGAAAATAATTCTTCAACCCTCTGAAGTTCTGAAATTCCCTAGAACGTGGCCCTCAGGTGCACTGAGGCAGTGGGGAGGGTTCTCGGGCCCCGGTCCCCAGCTTGCACGTTGTGACGGTGCCGGGGTGCTGGTGGCCGTGCAAGGGGAGCGCTGCAGGCAGCGGCTCCGAGCCCGGGCTGCTCACGCACAGCCGTGACTGCCCTTAATTGCGCAAGAGCAACGTCGATCCAGCAGGACCCTGGAAAATCTCACGCTCCTGACGCACAGGGAAGGGCATAAACAAACCCAGTGAGCGAACCCTTGGCTGCAGGCAGCCACACGGCGCAAAGAGAGCAAGGCAGAAGGCTGAGTGCTAAAAACCGCTGGGAAATGGTG